TGGCGGTTCAGGCTGCTGGTTTGGAGGTGGTCCTGTCCCACTCGCCCTCCCCATCGTTGGTGTGCGTCCGTGTGTACAGATGTGGGGACAAAGGTGTGCTGAGAGAGCTTTGCAGATGTGAGTGTGTCTGCTAGGAGTGGTACATCTGAGCACGTGCATGTGCCCGTCCTATGCATAGCTGTGTGCATGTGAGTGAGTCAGAGGAATGACAGGAAGGACTGTGTGTGTGTGTGTGTGTGTGTGTGTGTAGTACCTGCATGAAGACGGAACTTTGTAGATGTTTCAGGCAAATATAGGTGTGAGCGAGAGCTGGAGGTGCGCAGGTCGCTGGGGAAAGGGCTATTATTAGTGGGTGCTGTTATCTCAGCACACTGGCTGGGGGCTAAACTCGGCAACTGGAGAAACTCTTGGAAGAGACTCTAGGGATGTGATCGCCTAAAAATATCGTTATCTCCTAAATTGGCTCAGGCTAGAGCAGGTCTTTCCTGTGCTGGGACAGCACTATGGGGGCAGGGCCAGTCCCATGCAGATTCAGCTCCCAAGCCACTGGGCTAGGGGTGCTGAGAGCTGGTGGGAATGGGTCCACTCCTGACAGGTAACACAAGGGCACAGGTCCTCTGATCCAGCTGCTACCAGAGAGATGCCAGGTGCCTGCCCTGTGTCTAGTACAGTGCGCTGACATCAGACAGGTGGGCGCGTTTCCCAGGGAGACCTTTAAGGACCTCCAGGCTGAGGCAGGAGTGACTGGGGCTGGGAGGGTAAGACTCTCTTCTTCAACCAGAGAGCAATGCCTCAAACAAACAAACAAACAAACAAACAAACAAACAAACAAACTAAACAGCTAGTCCAGGAGTGGTGGCTCACACCTGTAATCCCATCACTTTTGGAGGCTGAGGTGGGAGGATTGCTTGAGGCCAGGAGATCAAGACCACCCTGGGCGGCATAGTGAGACCCTGTCTCTACAAAAAAAATAATAAAAAATTAGCTGGATATGGTGGCGCATGCCTGTTGGGAGGCTGAGGTAGGAAGACCACTTGGGCCCAGGAGTTTGAGGTATTATAATACCACTGCACTCCAGCCTCGGCCACAGAATGAGACCCTGTCTGAAAAACAAACAAACAAAAAAAAAAAACAAATAACCAAACCAAACAACTATATATAATTTCCTCTCCATACTTAGTTTAGTTTGAAGAAAGTCCCATTGCTGAACAACAAATGTGGGTGCAGACCACTGCTGTGGAGGACCCCATGATGGTCCAGACAGTGTCCTTGCATTTGGAGAACGAATACTCAGTGTTTTTGGAGAGAGCCCTGGGTCTGGTGCCAGTCCCATCCCTGCTCTGCCCTCCAGCCATGTCCAGGGTCCCTTTGATGCTTCCAGGCATTTTCCCACAGCTACCCAGGCTTGTTGAGCCTCCCTCCCCCGCACTCCAGGATGTAAGGTCCTGCTGAAGCGCTACTTCCTTCTGGAAGGAAGGACCCTCTCAGACAGAAGTTTTGTCAGCCACCATCTTCTTCCATTCTGTCCCTCTGTCAGCTCTTGGTTCCCATCTGCCTTGTCCTGGAGCTATTTCTGAGCATGTCTCTCTCTCCTTTGTTGTGAGCTCCTGCAGGGCAGTCTGGCGCTGACTCACAACCGTGTCCCCAGCACTCAGGTCAGGGCCTGGCACAGGCGAGTGAGCTGAATCACCTGTGAGCAAAGAAACAGAAGTAGAATCCCTGATGAGGGACCACGGTGCGTGGACCGTGTGTCCTGTAGGAGCCATGTGCTCACCGAAGGCAAGAACCGTGCCCAAGTCATCCTCGTATCCCCAGCCTGGCACTGTGAATGATTGGAAGGAAGGAAGGGTGGAAGGAAGAATGAACGGTTGGATGGAAGGAAGGAAGTCAAAGAGATGGACAGATGGACCGGTGGATGGACGGATGGATGACTAGATGGATGCATGAGCTGGGCAGATGAGAATGGGCAGCTCCGGGGAGAGACTAGGGTTGTATCTGGCTGAGAGAGTCCCCCAGAGTGGTCTGAGCCCCGGGTGTGTGCTACAGCAGCTTCATCATTTTGTCCACACCAAGGTGCTCCTGGTGTCTAGCACTTGGCCTTCTAGAGGCATTGACTCAGTTTCCTTCGTGCTGTAGAACGGAATCCTGGCACCAAGGAGCCGACCAAGGGTCGAGAGAGCCTCTTCCTCAGCCAGTGGCCCCAGAGCCGGAAGGACACCTGCGGTGAGGAGGGTTGCAGTGACCCAGTGGGCACCATGTCCATGACCCTGCCGACCAAGAAGCCAGCAGGGCCGGCCGAGAAGAACCTGCTCTATGAGTTCTTCGGGGCCACGAAGAATCCAAGCGGGCAGCCGAAGCTTCGCAGCAAAGCAGAAGTGGATGGGCCGGAGCTGAAAGGTAAGCCAACCCTACACAGGGAGAGAACACAGAGGAAGGGGTTCCAGAAACCCTCCTGGGTCCCAGGAATGGCTCTGGCTGTCTTAACCATGGGCAAGGCACTGCCTTTCTCTGGGTATCCATTTTTAAACCCATGAAATAGGGAAAATGACTTTCTCCCTATATCCCTTACTGGGAATACAACTGCTAGAGAAATGCATTTATCTTTCAGGAATCACAGGAGCATTATTAGTGATCAATTTTGAATATACCCCTGAGCCAGCATATATCATATCCTCTCAAGTTGGCCAAGCCAAAAAAAAAAAATAATAATCCATGTTTTAGACTAGTCCTACTTTAAGATTATTTATGTCTCTGCTTTCTCTCCCGTGCTCCCCTGCAACTATTTTAGTCAAATCTCCTTTCCTTAAAAAAGGGGGAATATGAGGATTACCAATAAAGGGGAAACTGAGGATTCATTTCTAATTCTCTAACAGGATGTCTTAGGGAAGAGAATTAACTGGAATTCATCTCTTGAAACAACTCAAACTTACCTCATTCACTTAGACGAATATTGAGTCATTCCACACTGAATTAATGTTTTAAAATATTAAATAATTATTTCCTTATTGATACAACAACCTGTGCAAGGTTCTCAGTGTTGCCAAGTATATGTCCTTAGGGAGGGGCTGCTGGAATGGTTTGATAAGAATGAATTCCAATGGCATAACGATTGTTCATATAAAGCTGGGTTTTTCTAAAGCACTTCAAAGAATTTTGTTTTGTAAGTAGGCGAAATGCAGCCCTAGCACTCAAGTTTATTATATTCCCTTGCTAAACTACCTCCTTTGCTAGTGAATGATGGAAAGAGAAGCTCCAAGGCAGACCATGCTGGGATTTTCATCCCTTCCAAATTGGCAACGTGTAAACTCACATTTTCCTATATTTGGAAATTCGCCAGAACTTTGAGGAACCCCCCCCCCCGGAGGTTAAAAGTCATGACCTCTGAGAAT